CTTTCGTGAGTGAACGCCATATTGGCAAGTGTATTTTCAAAAAGCTTCTGGTGCACTGCTAGTCTCCGTGTCTTCGGCGAATGGTATCTTGTTTGTAAGAGTATCTTTAGCTGGTCCAATGTTGTAGGGTGTAGTGTCTGTTTCCTTGCTGCTAAGTGGCACTCGGTTTTTCGTCCTTTGAAAGAAGAAAACCAAATGACCCAAGCTGGCTCAAACCCTGAACCTATCTTTGCTCTGAATTTGACACTTTACCGACGAGCCTCCTTTGCGCCTGCCCTGAAAATGGCAGCAATCAGTGGGCACTTTTTTGAAAAGCAGTCTAAGCACAATTATGACCGGCAAAGAGCAGGAAAACTGCCGAAAGTGAGAAGATGATGCGCCTTGAAATCTGGTTTTAAAACAGTAATGCTTTCAGTTAATCTATGCCGGCATGCAAACCAACATTTCTGTTTATGATAAGGTATAAGGAAATAGCATAGCGAGTAACGTCTCCTGAAACACCGTTCATAATGAGGAAGAGATTTGTAGGTAAATAAAATAATGTGAGATGTGTCTACCATCGCAAGTACTCGAATGTTGTGATGCTGTGGTCTGCTTAAATTCCCCCATAGTTTCTTAGAGCAAGGCGGCGGTGCTGCGTACGTTGAAATTTATTTCGGATCAGTTATGTGCTGCCAATCAATATACTCTGAGGAGGTACCCTTGTAAAGTTTTCGAATAATCGATCTATATGACGAGTGCTCGAATTTCAATTAACGCTGATTTATTTAGTTAATTAATTTGGAGAAAATGTTATGCGTCAGAAGCTGAGTTTGTTATAAATTTCACGTGTTTCAGTATGTTGATCAGTTATTGTTTTTAGGCTGACATCTGGAGTCTCGGAATCACCGCCATTGAATTGGCTAAAGGCGAACCTCCGCACTCAGATCTCCATCCAGTTCGAGTTTTATTCTTCATTCCTAAAAATCCTCCGCCGCAGCTTACTGGTAATTATACGAAACCTTTCAAGGATTTTGTCGAGGCCTGTCTGAACAAGGATCCAAAAAATTTAAGTTTTAAATTGTTTTATTTTTGCTTTCGCTATATTTGTCTGATTATGGTGTGTCGTTTCAAGTTTTGCGCGAGGAAACTATTCAGCCGCTTAAATGGTGGCGTGGCGTATCGTTATCTGTTTTATTGCACACGGTACCTGGATAACTCCTCGGATGCTAGAGCTCTGAAATTTTACCGTATCGCTTTTCACATGGTGTACCCGGCCAGTCAACGTGTACCAGTCTGCTTTTGAAATAAATCTATTCTGTACCCAATCATATACAGTATTAGTCCGCTCAGCGCTACCCCACACAGCGCTGATTCATTGTAACACTTTTTGATCTCACAAATTCTTACTTCCGCCGTACGTTTTGGCGGGCACGCTATGATTGATTTGAGAACGTGTCACCGGATCATGATTAGACGGCACAGTTTGCATTTTCATTAAAAAACGCATGATGGGACTGCACAAAATCCACGGAAGCCTTAGTATACAACCGCTACTTCTAAAGATTGAGAAATCACAGCTGCGATAATTCGGGCACGTTGTGTGAATGCTTCCAGAAAGTAAGCCGAAGATGCTACTGCGTGGCCAGCCGACGGGCAAGATTAACACAGGGCAGATATATGCAGAAAGTCTGCCCTAGACTGCGGTTGTCTTCTGCTGAAGCTCAGAGTCTGGCACAGGATCTGGAACACTGGAAGCACTGTCTGACGCGTTTGTATCCACAGCCCGAAAGGAAAAGCGGTCATGGAAGATGAAATGACTGCTTGAGCATCGAATGACGTACACGTCAGTTTGGTGGTGCGCACCAAATCTATTATTTGACTCTTTGCATGGTCTTTGCATGTGATCGCCTCTGTTTTGATGAAAATCTTTTGCCCATGACTGTTAGCAAAAGATGTGCAAGTGACGGTGTTAAAAGTCCCCTTAAAAGACAGGGAAATCTATCACACTCGAAGTTGACATGAATATTTTAGTGAACGTCAGTGGACCATGCTGCATGTATAGATACGTCAAGCATCAGAATGGTCTTGTAGAATTTTGGGAACATCGTAACATCAGACAAGTTCGCTGGTATATTAACTGCACCATAACTGAATCGTGTAGTAAGTAATTTATTCGGGAAAATGCCGGCAGTCTTAAGCATGTGGATTTAAGAACCGATTCTGTACAGTATGCCTCTGAAGCAGTTAATCTTCATGAAAGGCACATAAAGTTTCATTTTATATCTTGAAGAACAAGGCCGAGGGGTCAGCATTTGAAACATCTACTGATCCGTGAATGATTTGATAGATACACACATGGCTGTGGCCTGCACAGAATAAAGGTAGTGTGTAAGGCGGCTGGTGCCGTTACAAGCAGCGTGTAAATTTGTCGCTTGTCTGTAAGTAATCGTCGCGCGTGGTTACTATTATTTTGAGCTATGAGTTATGAATGTTATGGATGAAATCAGTTTTGATTGAGCAGAATGTCATCACATCTTCATATTCCGATAAGAACAGTATACACCAGGGTCTGAAGCTGCCAAAGACCGAATCACGCTATTTATGCTGCTTTCACCTGAGCATAAGCCACGCTGTTCTTCTTGAATTTTAATAATATTACTGATAATAAGCGCGAGGTCGCCGTTAGAACTGTTGCGCCATCAAACTGTATCCACTATCGATGGCGGCGTTGAATTGTTCCAAAGAAGGAGGGTTTTCCGCGTATGCTGCTTTGTCCGTGTGTTCCGTAGTCTACTTCTGGGCGACCTCCAGTACTGGTCAGTGGGACTCCGTTGCGAATGTCCACAGCTATGGCGAGACTGTTGTGCTCGGGAAATTATGTTGCTATTCTTGTCACGTGCCCGAGCAGACCATCTCTGCACTGGTCGATGGTGACGCCGATGAAGGGTAATCCATTTGATTCAGTGATGGTTGCATTTCGGACCAAGTCGCACCACTTGATGTTGAGAAGCCGCCTCCGACACCGCATGCAAAAGACCTGAAGGTTGTTTGCGTCCAGGTCTCGGTTTCATGCCGCAGAACGGGCAAAATGCATGTCTGGTAGAGTCGCAACTAAAGTAGAATGGTCTGCTGCGAGAGTGTTCGATGACCAAACCTGCGACATAACGTTCATGGCTGAAGCGGCTAGATCAAAGCGACGAATTACCTCAGGCCTGTAGCATCCGAACGAGTTCCGTAAACGATACTGTTCCACGGATTCAGCTGTTTGGACGTATACGTGAGTATTGGCACCTGTAGTGCCTGTTCCCTGGTTTTGTGCCATCGTCTTTTGTCAGCAAATTTCCAGGCCCAGCTTCTTAGAGGTCTTTTTGAGCTCTGAGAGAATAGACGGGAAAATTTCTGAAGAATGAGCAAGAAGCGCAGTATTGTCTACGAAAGCCAGATCCATGAAGGCATAGACACCGACACGGAAGATCTGGCGCTACGGCATGTGCTCAAGGATCTAGTTGATAACTTGGCAAAGAGGGCAGGGGCAAACTTGCATCCATGTTTTACTCCCAACGATATGGGAAACCGTTCTGTGAGGACTGAGCCTGACCGAATTCTAGCGTCCATCCTGTCGTGTAGGTCGCGTCGAAGTTTCAGCAGCACAGGTCCAGGACACTGATGCCCCTGAGTGCTAAGGAAAACGCCGGGCGATCCACTGAGTCGAAGGTCGACTCCAAGTTTACGTAGGCCACGTGTAGTGAACGGTTGAATTTCCGATAGCGCAAGAATTGCGTCCTTTGTCGAGTTGGCCGTTGAGTTAAGTCTGACTACCGCTGTCGGCAGCATCTGGCGAGAGGTGTTCAACTTTGCCAGCATTACATTCGCGAAGACTTTGCCGGGTAATGAGAGGAGCGGTGTTGACCGGTAACCGCTGCAACAAGTTTTTGACCCTTTGCCGTTGTCTTGGAGCTTAGGATCACATTTTTTAGTAGCATGATACTCGACCGGTGCTCCGTAGCTTCA